TCTGAATGCCTGAAGCCAGCAAGAGGGACACTGAAAAATTATGTGTGAAGGTAATACCCACAGAATGGTCTAGCGCCTCTCATGTAGGAATGAGGAAAAGAGAATGAGTAGCTGTCTCTACTGGCCCACTTCTCCTAGTGATGAGAATTAAAAACAAAGGCTCTCACTTAGCAAGGCCTCATGTCTAATATAAAACACTTCACTAAAGATAACAAAACTAAAAAATTATACCAGTCACCAGTGGTAGAGCAAGGAGAAGCACTGGTCTTTTTGTAAGAACAGCAAAGGTTTGAGGACTCCTTGCACCCACAGGAAAGCACAACACTGGCTAACACGTTAGTGGAAGTGGGTATCATGACAAAAGGAGAAACATAAGGGCAGTACATGCTTATACAAAATTTAACTAAGTTCGCTCAAGAGACTGTCACAACAAAAAAGACCTTTAAATGAGTATTGTATATGTCTCAGAGAAACAGAATCAGAAATAAGTTCACTGTATGGTCTCTGGATATGGCCAGATTATCATGTAGCCACTATTTCTTCTGCCATAACCATTACTTTCCTCTTCTAAATAACACCCTAAATAAGGATGCACCATGTATGATGAATCGCTGAATATCCGTTTTTTGGTAGAGCTACAACAAATGCTAAGTAGTTTCTTTTGTGTAGATACAGAAGCATGGTAGTAAACAGAAAGCCAATTGCTTCACTTTAGCTCACAACTTTGTTCCTCCTTTTTTATTCCTCTGCAAAGGAAACAAGCTATATAAGTCTGAAGATCATTCTTTGTACTATCTTATTGCTTGTGAAGATTGCTCTCTTCTGTATAAGCCAGCTATATGCAGAATGAGAAGACATAACAAAGGAGATGACAGGAAAAGGTGTCACAATAAGTGGAGAAAGAATGGGAACTAACGAGTTTACTCATATAAATATAACCAATACACTTGCTAAATGCTAGACTATTAATGTGTTTGTTTACTCAGAAAAGAAGTATTTTGCTACTACACCAGTATGAAAGAAGTAATATGCATAAGAATCCAATTTTTATTTATCATTGTACTAGTTCTTCTCCATGACTGCACTACTTCAAATTTTCAGTGAGTTTGAAATTTTCTCTTTAAGCAAAGCCAAAAAATAGAGCATGCATCCTGATACAGGATCCTTTAATGCTGCACAGATCTTGTCAAAGAGCTTTCAGGGTTTCACCTCTCTCATTCTGAATGACCTCCCTACAGCACATTTCTGTAAATGTATGACATTAGTGTACGCTGTTTTCTGCAAACTCTTTCGTTCTTTGGGATATCTGGAAAGCATCGAGGGAGACCAACTTGGACAGAAGACATTTCACACACTTCTGTCATCAAGTTCCATGGCTGACTTATTTGTGTACCATCACTTAAACGTGTAAGAACCTAACCTGCTCTTTGACGTGGGAGCAAGATCATATCCCAGCATGATTGTATAGTAGTAATACATCGGATCACCAAGCCACAGAAAGTGACATATTTGTTGTTTTAATAATCACGTGTTGGCTCAAATGATACCATGTAACTCTAGCTACAGTTCATCCACTGGACAAAAACTGTTACCACTTTATTTAAAATAATGTATTGATCCCCGTTTGCTCTTGAAATAAATAACCTGCAGTCATCATCTAATTCAGTGATGTTGTAAATTTGCGCTTGTAAGCCAATTTCACATATATGTCAATAAGTATTTTAAGGTTGGCATAACTTTGAACTAAAAACCTACAATTCAGTTAAACTTTATGTTTATTATAATTATACAATGATATATAATTATACTTATTCTATTTCCATAATAATAATTATATGTATTTTTACTATGCAATTTTTGATGCAGATTATTCCTGTGAGGGGAAAGAAATAGTACTACCCAGACTTATTCCTCTTAATAGGGGTACACTTGTCCTAGTTCCCTCTATAGTGAACACAGGGAGACAGGTGCCCACTCTGGGACAGGGTCCCACCTTTGGTATTTCTTAGTAGTTCTAATATTAAACTCTGATCTTGGATGATATAGTAAAATTCCACTTAAGACACTTTAAAAATGAAAATGCATGGCTCAGGCCAGTTCAAAGAGGGAAGAAATCCACTGGCGTGGCTTTTTTTCTTCCCTTTCTGTCTCATTTTGTACTGTCGCTTACCTAAGTCACTAGCTCTAACATGAGCCTTCTACATGTTTCTTTGAGTTTTTGACAATATCACCATTAACATCGTTAATTTTCCTCAGTTCCTTATATCTTAGAATCATAGAATCATTAAGGTTGGAAAAGACCTCTAAGATCATCGAGTCCAACCGTCAACCCAACACCACCATGCCCACTAAACCATGTCCCCAAGCGCCTCATCTACACGGCTTTTAAATACCTCCAGGGATGGTGACTCAACCACTTCCCTGGGCAGCCTCTTCCAATGTTTAACCACTCTTTCAGTAAAGACATTTTTCCTCACATCCAGTCTAAACCTCCCGTGGCACAACTTGAGGCCATTTCCTCTCGTCCTATCGCTTGTTACTTGGGAGAAGAGACCGACACTCACCTCGCTACAACCTCCTTTCAGGTAGTTGTAGAGAGCGATGAGGTCTCCCCTCAGCCTCCTTTTCTCCAGGCTAAACAGTTTGATCTTGCTTTAATGTGTGTTGAGAGGTCTAACTTACACAGTTAATGATTCTCCTCTCAACTCTTTATTAATCTAAGCCTAATTTTCAAAGGAGTTGAACACTTAAAAAATGCTGCTGAGGTAAGTGGGAATTAAAACTTTGAATATAACAAGTACAATGAGAATGGGAAGGTTAAAAAAAATTCAGGTTCTCAAAGTGTGGCATCCAAATGGAATAGACATTTTCTAATGTTTTGGAGTGGGGCTTTTTTTCCCCCCGATATGTTACAGTTCCAGTCTGCAAAATGGGCACAATATCACTTTTAGGTCTGAACAATATGTTGAAGAAAAATCATCAGTTAGTTACACACTCAATATTATGTCTTAATCTTCAAAAGACAGTCCATGACAAAACCAATAACTTCATATAATGTGAAAGATGTGGAGAATCTGCTGCAAGTAGAACAGAGGAACATGACATCTATAATTAAATAAAAAGGAATATTTAATAGCCATTAGATGTGCACTGTCCTGTTTGTCATTAAACAGAGCAGAGATCTTGTTACAAACAGTATGTTATTGTGTAATTAAATGTATTGGAAATGCAAATGCACATGGGAGTTAAATTAAGACTGCAAACTATGTTATTAATGCTTGGGCAGGGGTGGCCAGCAGAAAGAGTATTGTTGTGAGCATCTCACTGGTAGAAAGATAAAGACAGATGCTGAGGCTCTACAGTCTGCTGTTCCCATTGTTTGGCTCCAGGCAACTGTGTGCATGGCCGAGATTATAAAACAATCAGCGCTCCTGTTTTTATAGAGATTGGAGTGAGACAGCAGTTCAATTTTATGTGCGAATAGGAAATGTCCATAATGAATGTATCAACGCCCTAATTCCCACTGCAAAATGGGGGGGAAAAAAAAAAAGTATTTCCAAATTCATTTATCCACCATTATATATAATACAGTGTGTTAACTCTGAATCTTTGCCTCAAAAATTAAGAAGTTCAAAGAGTGATGTCTCTAAAACACAGCCATATTTATAACTGTTCCTAAAGGAGAACTAATAAACGGTGTGTTTCTGCAGATTCAATACTCCACAGAAAAACACTCTAAAATATGCTAAAACTGGATATCCATAGCTTTTCAGTATCCTGGATATTTAATTGCATAACAGTAAGAGTCATAGTAATTATAAAATCCTTAATGGCATGTTAATATGCTATTAAATATGCTTTAACAGCATATTCACCACATAACTTTTGATTCTCCCTTACTACATTGACTTTTTCTGAACAGGTTCTCAATCCTTACTGTGAAACTTAAATAATCTCAGCTTTCAAATTTTCATGTTCAACTTAAATAAAATTTAGTATTATTTTTGTAACTTAAAAGACAATATAAAACATAGTTTTGGGGCCTACACGCCATTACTCATTTTGTTCAAGAACTGGTCTTCTGTTATTGTTATTACTATTACTGGAATTATTAAACTGGCCTTCAATAATTCACTGTAGTTGACTAAGATCAATGACGAGTAATACTAAATCCTTCCACTTCAGATAATTTAACTGAGATACTAAATATCAAGATGCCTAAACAAACCAAGAATTATTGAGAGACGCAACTTCAAAACCACAAACTGGGCACAATTTAAATCATAAAAATACTGAAATGTTTGAGTCTGAATATCTTCCCAAACTTTTAGAAGCTGACTAGATTATAAACTCTCAAAACTGAATTATTTCTTGCGATACCACAACCATAAATACTTGTTATCTGTTCTACTGAACTACCAAATTCAATAAGTCAGGAAACCAAAAACGTAACATAGAGAAACCAGCCAGTCAGTTACTTCATTATATTACAATTTTGAATAACCAAAGGTTTATTTCATGTCTTGGGCATAATCTCTCCCCCCACCCCTTACTGTATCTCTCTTCTTTGTATATATATGTTAGGCTCTGACATTTGCAACAGAACTTGGGTCACTAGTACTGGTTTCTCTTAGTATTTTAGATAATGACCCTAAACTCATATTTTTATATATCTTAGATGTAGTAAGGTATGGCCTATCCCTGCAATAAAATGAAAACTTTTGAGCAATTTTAATATTCTTTCACTTAAAATTACAGCAGAAACATGTTGCACAAATGACAATATCTACATCTGTGCTGCCAGTGATTAAAACACTTTAGATGGTTCAAATTGTTAAATCTCCTTCAACTGAAGAGAAACCTCAAATGCCAAAGCTCAGTTTGTTGTCAGCATGCTTCATACTCAGCTGCTACCTTTCCATTTTTTAGTAGTGCTTAGAAAGAAGTCACACATCAAGGTCAGTTAGCACACTCACCAGTTGTTCACCAAGTTTACTCACCCTTTGACCTTCTTTGCCAGGTGGACCTTGGGGACCCTCCAGCCCTGGCAAACCCTGAAAATACAAACATTAAACAAATACAACATTCAGTGGCTTTTTCATCCTCTATTATTCTATAGAAGTAAGACTAAGCCAAAGATCCAGAGGTCAAGACAAAGCATTTATTTCTAATAATAAAAACAGTTTATTCATAATAACTTCTTTCAGGATAATGTTATATTCAGTTGTAAGAAAAAACACAAACTAATTATTAATCACATTTCTCCATATAAAGGCTGAATCATTTGAAAAAGAAGAGGTAAGTCAGCACTACTTAAGCATAGTTATATTTAACTACAGTGTTATATGAAAAATGATTTATCTTGTGAAGTTAGGATACCATAAGAAAAAAAAGTTATATTAAATGAATGACAACTTACTTTACAACTCAAATTCAAATATAGGCACTGAAGGGGGAGGGGAAGGGAAGGGAGGGGAGGGAAAGGGGACTAAATATAGCAGAAGGCCTTATGCTCGCTGTATTGTAAGAACCACTCCTGTGCGGCTTCCTCTGTGTGCCTGACATGGCTTTTCAAAACCCTTCAGAGGCACTTCTTTCTTGCCCTCTCCCCTGACCAGGCACAGGAGATTTGGGTGTTCTGTATATACCCTCAACTTGTGAGCCTTCCTTCTGAACTCAGTGCAAGGATCTGCCTTTGCAGTCACAGACAGAAACACAGACTGTTTCTGACGCTTTGGGGTTTTAATTTTATATCTGATTAATGTACGACACAATCATAAAGCCTTCAGGTAATAGCTCTGTACTTAGAACAGTGCCCCCCCTTACTTTATGAGTCACCTTGGAACACAATTAAAAAAAAAAAAAAAAATACTTCGAGGAAGCTATCCAATTTCCATTGTAGCAACAAGAAATACAAAATCAGTTTCAATATAATCAGCAAAGAGCACTGAACAGTTCTACTTTGTAAAATTAAAAAAAAAAGTATTGAATGTAATATTGCATATTCTTACAAGGTATCATAAAATTAAAGAACTTATGTTTAGTTTATTTAAGAGTTTGAAATATTAAAATATTAAATTCTTAACCATTTAAATTACTCAGACTCAGGTATTGCTTCAGCTTGAGTTACATCTTGCGTCAAATTCTCAACTCCTTATTTAGAATCAATTACAGATACTTATTGCCCCAACAAGGGTAAACTGAGGCCTCCTGAGAATCATGTTTTTAAAAAGTGTCCAGATTTCCAGAAATGAATTTAAAAAAGTTCCTTTATAGTCTCTAATTCCCAAGATAAACTTGAGAAAGTAAGTGGGCATGCCAAAGCTGCTAGCTCATATATCTTCAAGTGATATTTTAAGTTGATTGAATGAAGTCTGACTTCAATTTTAAATAAAAGTAGTCAGTTCAAGAGTTTTTATCTTCCCATCATTTCTCTACTTTCAAACACTGAAGCTAGAAGAGTACCTCAGACAGTATTTCACTATAGGGTATTTGTCCTTTCACTTCAGTTTATAATGTAAACAAGGTAAGGTTTAGGGTCTTTTACAAAACTGATGCGCACCATTTCCATCTTTCCCCCAAAGTTTATGGAACTAGAATATGCATGACAATGTTGTATCCAACAAATAAATCACAGTAAGTTAATTATAGTGCAGTTATATAGCTTATACATGCACAAACCCATAAAGCAGTATGTGAATGTGACCTCTGTAAACCTTGTCTACTTTTTCCTCAAGGTAGTTTGGAACTTGCAGAGAATTCTGTCTGTCCAACTGTTAGCAATATTCTACCGTTGTAGAGAAATTCTGGGAATTCAGGAAGAGGTGGAGTTTTGTTTTGTTAATATTTCATTTCTAGTGACAACTTTATGCAGGGGAATGAGATGAAAACCTGTAACGTCTGTTTTATGGAGGAGGAAATACTTAGCTTCACATATCTGTACAATAAGGCTCCAAGGGGACAAGAATTACACAAGAATGTAACAGCACAATAATGATAATTAATAGCCAACATTTTTGTCCAAGACCTACTTTTATTCTTTTTCTTCTCTCTACAATATTATTGTCCAGAAAAAGGAACCAGATAAGGAGGTTTATCTTCAAGGAAAGGGAGGAGAGCAGCTTACAATTGGTAACTAGGCAGGGAGGACTACCCTGTACAAGGAGCCACATCCTGACATTGAAACTGAGGTAAAAGTTCACACTAACTTCAGTGGGATCTTCGGTTTAAAAAGGACAACATGGGCCATGTTAACTAACATGGCTGTAAAACTGTAATAATTTGGCAACACTAATGACTTAGCAATGCTATCCC